AGGGTATATTAAAACTCCCCACATTAAGTTTAAATATTTTATTTATACTAAAAACAAGTCACTGTAGTTTTACTTTCCTGGCTTTAATAGAAGTAAATTGATCAATAATTGCAAAAATCAACACCGTTGCTTATTTCCAGTTGCAGGAATTGCCATTTCTGACCATTTTTCTTGACCAAGTTGCGCTCTTACATAGTTTTAACTAACTTCAGCTTGTTGATCTTGTTTTATTTAAAATTCTGATATGTTCTTCCTTGTGGATCTTTAATTTTAATATTTTTTAAGTATTGCATTAAAGTGGCCTTGATCTTGATTCCTGTTTCTGGGCACCCCTTAAATTTTGCTTCATTCACCCTAATCTTGGCCCTGCTTAGCAAGAGGGTATTGGGGTCCCACAGGTTGCAGGATACAGGCCAGAGGCAGCCTCGCCAGGCCCCTTCTCTGCTGGTCTTTGTCCTGTCCAATGTCTAGAAAAGGAGGGTACCCTCCAGCACATTCTAACAAGCACATCGCCTTCTCCAAACCCTACTTACAGGGCTTCATTGGCCCATTTTTGCCGTTAAAAGAGAAAAATACAAACTACTTAATGTGGTCTCCAGTGCACACTTTAACCTGCTCCTAAAAGCCTGGCTTTCTAGTTGGTACATTCTAGACGCTTATCTCCAGTTTTACCCCTGACTTCACCATGTTTAGCTCCTGAAACAGCGTGTTATACTGCCTTCAGGCCTTGCACAGGTATCAATCATCCCATACCCCACCAGCTGTTATTACTGTCCGTGCCCTCCAGTGATTTCCTGTTTAAAAATCGCACTTCTAGGGGCTCACTCCGTTAAGCATCTGACTCTTGGTTTAGTTTCAGGTGGTAAGCTCAGTATCCTGAGATCCAGCCCCACCTCAAGCTCCATGCTCAGCCCAGAGTCTGCTGGAGACTCTCTCCATTTCTCTCTCCCTCCTCCTTGGCTCCATCCCTCTAAAATAAACAAAATCTTTTTTTAAAATTATGTTTAAAAAAAATCTTCCTTCTACTTGAGCTGTTGACTCAGATGAAAAGCAAAATTCATCCTGTCCTCCAAAACCAATTTCCCCCTTTTAAGCTATTTGTTTATTTTAATGGTACCAGTATTATCCCAGACTTGAACTTTGGAATCATCTTTAAAACTTCTCCCTGATCACCTACATCCATTTGTCCATATGCACTCGGCCCTCAAAGTTATTTCATTATGCCACTGACCTCTCCCTCTTTCTATTTGCACATACTTCTGCGTGAGGAGTGTGGAAAGGATTGTTTAAAATAAAAAAGTCATTGAGTGTCTGCCTTCAGCTCAGGTCATGATCTCAGGGTCCTGGGATCAAGCCCCACATCTGGCTCCCTGGTTGGCAGAAGCCTGCTTCTCCCTCTCCCTCTATTTGTGTTCCCTCTCTCACTGCGTCTCTGTCGAATAAATAAAATATTTAAAAATAAATAAGTAAGCAGAAAGTACGCCAATTGAAAACATCCTTGGATAAACTCATAACTTAATAACACCTTAATCTAAATAAATAGCGTCTTAATCTCAATTCTCAGACAAGAATTACTAATACACATGCTCCTTAGACTGTTGAAACAAATCACAAGTGCTACCTTACTTTTTCTTGACCAAAAAAAAATTAAAATATACAAAATACATAAATGTATAATGTCATGGAAGAACGGAGTTGAAGCATTTTCTTATCACCTAGATCCTCCTTCCCCACAACAAATGCTCCAGCATCGCTTTGCTCACTGTTCTCAGCATCTGAAATGCCCTTTTCCATACTTTCAGAATTTTCTACTCAAAAGTCCTTACTTTTTTCTCCAATTTCACTTTCTTTACACACTCAGTTTATCTTGTATTATAATGTAGAAGACCATGAAGGTGCCTTATCTTCCCCACTGTCTGTGAGCTCTAGAGGACAGGGACCTTGTGAATTTGTGAATCAAAAATTATGCTCTAAAGCAAGGAGAGGCTTTAGAAGGGTTCAGGTCATAAGCTAGAACAAAAAATAAAAAAGAAAGAAAGAAAAAAAGAAGAACCCAGAAGGATACTCAAATAAGCCTGAAATTAGAAGACTAAAAACAACAAAGAATCAGGGACCTGGAAGAGTGACTGAAATGTATTTTTGTAATAGAGCTGCTTCTCTCTTTCAAGAATCTCCAATTTGCATAACTGTAGACTCTGTAGTTCGTCCATGGACTCAGAAAGGGCCTTCTCGATGCGGAGAAGTGGTGACAGATAGCAATGGGACTTTAATCAGCTACCATTTCCCCTGGCAGTAGTGGAATAATTCAGGGCTTTCATCCTTTGCAAAGCTAGCTGAGAAAGCGAAGTGTCTATCATAGACACCCAGAGCCTGTTTTTTGTGCCAGTACCATGCTGTCTTGGTGATCACAGCTTTGTAGTAAAGCTTGAAATCAGGCAATGTGATGCCCCCAGTTTTGTTTTTTTCTTTTTCAACATTTCCTTAGCAATCCGGGGTCTCTTCTGGTTCCATACAAATTTTAGGATTGTTTGTTCCAGCTCTTTGAACAATGCCAGTGGGATTTTGATCGGAATGGCATTGAAAGTATAGATTGCTCCAAGTGGTATAGACATTTTAACAATGTTTATTCTTCCAATCCATGAGCATGGTCCATATATATAATGGAATACTACTGAGCCATCAGAAAGGATGAATACCCAACTTTTGCATCAACATGGATGGAACTGGAGGAGATTATGCTGACTGAAATAAGCCAAGCAGAGAAAGTCAATTATCATAGCGTTTCACTTACTTGTGGAACGTAAGGAAGAGCATGGAGGACATTAGGAGAAGGAAGGGAAAAATGAAGGAAAGGCAATCAGAGGGGGAGATCAACCATAAGAGAGTTATAGAGGGATGTGTGGTGGGGGGATGGGTGAACCCTGTGATGGGTATTAAGGAAGACATGTATTGCATGGAACACTGGGTGTTATACACAAACAATGAATTATGGAACACTACATCAAAAACTAATGATGTACTGTAATGTGACTAACATAATAAAAAATAGATGCCCAGAGACACAAAGTTATCTTTGGCCTTGCCTTTTTTCCCCTCTAAATTAGAAAAAATCTCACTTATAGGCATCAAGTGGTAGAGACCAGGGATGGCAGTGCTTTATCACAGGAAGCTTTGGACAATTTTGTTGTGGTAGAGAAACATTTGTTAGAAATTTCAATCAGATTTTCACTTTGGTTCTAAATCAATTTTTCTCAAGCTTCATAATAACAGTTGGAAAATTATAGCACTTACTATTTAAATGGATTACAGCATCTATTTTAAAGTGGCTCAAAGGCAATTTTAGCAGCACTTCATAGTTATTAGTTATTATGGCTACTTTTTGTTAAGTTTCTTTTTTAAATCAACCTGACAATTTTTATGTAATTCAGGACTAAAATTATGGTTCATACAGAGATTAATAAAAAAATCTTAACCATTCAGGCTAAAATGGTGACCTTTATCTTTTAATGTTCATCTTTATACAGCTTTAGGTAATGGCATCTATAAACCAATACATATGTTAGAGCTTAGTAAAGCACGATAGCATTCCTTTAAGCCTCAAGATTATCTGTTGGCAACTTAATGTCTGTGTTTTAAGATACATCTATAGAAAAAGCAGCATATTTATATCCTAAAATATTTAAGTTCAACTTAATATTGTCAGTCCAGTGATGTTAATATTTGACAGTTTGACATTGGATAACTAGTTCCTGGGTTATCTTGTGATCTCTGTGCAGAAATAGAACTTCAGACTGAGGATGGAGCTTCTTACTGAGGCAAGGGGTCAACTTCAACTTCCAACTGAACTAGAAGGTATGAAGTCCCCAGCCCAGCAAAGACCCAGTCCCTCTCATACTCTATAGTGTCTATGCAGCTCCCTGCTGGTTTAGTAACTGTGCTACTGTGGAGTCCTGCCACCAGAAAGAAAGGGAGAGAAAGCAGTAGTCTGGCACTCAGATGCCAACATGGGCTCTGAGAAGCAGGGTAGAGAAGAGGTCATAGACCTTAATAGTATTAGTTGTCAGTGCCTGAGAAGACAAATATAATCAAAGAATTCTGGTCTATACATTGCAAGTGCTTAATAACATACCTGTTTCTAAATCACAGATTGTGGTTGACCTCATATGCTATTTCAAAAGATATGGCTGGGGTTGGGGAGGCAAGAGATAAATCAACTCCATTTTAAAACCTTGAATAAAGACTAGCTCTTTAAAAATGGCGAGGGACAATACAGAGCACTTTACCCCACTTACCTGCATGGGAAGAATTGCTACTCCAAGACAGAACAAAGAATGGTATGATGGTTTATTCAATTTAAAAACACTTCTTAATTTGCTTTTTTAAATGGAGGGTAAAGAAGAATATAAGGCAGCAAATAAGCCTACAAGCCATTAACAGACTACCTTCATTAACATGGTACATCTAAGTTATCAAATGCTGTTATGACCAATATTATTTTATGTATTAGAGCCTGACCATTATTAGCTTTTAGGCCCACAAAGCTGAGCCTTACAGCCAAGACCTGGTACTACCAACCTACTGAATTTTCTCACGTATCTACTCATGAAATGGTTTCTAACAGAAATTTCTCACTCTTTGTTACATATTACAAAGAAGAGTACTTTACCCATATTTGGCTTTGGACAAGATAAAAACCTTTATTTACAAATGTTCTATTCCCTTAAAATATATACAGAAAAAATAATTTGGATTAAAATATCATAAAATCACAGGAAACAAACCCAAATTCTGATAAAAATCAAGGAGAAATTGGTGACACCCACAAAATCAAAACCAGTCATAACAATTACAGGAGGGTCAGCGCAAATATTCTGAAGAACAACCACATTAAATTCTCTTTGAACTCCATTACCCAGTGTTTTGTTCCATAAGTTAATAGCCAGTTCAGAAATTATAAGTTATATATAGGCTATTTCTACCCACTTGACATAATGGTAAACTCATTTAATAAATATAATATCTGATAAAGGGGTTGTCTTCACTTAAAGAATATAGTAGGAAAACCACTTGCTTAGAGTGGCTGAGAATTCTTTTAGGAATACCATCATTCACCCCAAGAAACATTATTGAAATACATGCACAGTTACCTCAACTCAAAACAAAATTATATTCCTTTCTGTGTGCAGGGAGAGTCCCTATTCCTTGGTAGGCAATCAGCTACAGCAGCCTCCTAGTCCATGGGCTGTGCCTAGGGTGCTGCTTTCTCTTCTTTGAGTTCAGAGATACCTGCTTTCCCATTGTACATCAGTGAGTGTGAGAAGTAAACAAACTGTTGATAGGTAGCCTTAAGAATATAACAAGAGAAGAGAAATGGCTGCCAGTGATTGTACCTGGGACCGTTGCTAATACGAGGCCTTAATAGCTTGACTATCTTGGTTGTCAATGCTAAATTAGGAGTAGTTTTTGAATTCTTTGGGCACTCATTGCTTAATCTTCCCCTTTACAAGAGGAAGTCTGACACAGTCAATATCTCTTTCTGGAAGCTATAAGGCAAAAGGGGGGTTGGTGTGAACTGAGTTCTTATGGGGAAGACTCCCCCCAGCTGAAGCATGAAGATTTTGCACTTTTTCCTCCCACCAGGCGTTTGGTGCTTCTTGATCCTGTGGGGGTCCCAGAGACCCCAGCATCACCATGCTCTTCCTGGGAAGACCGGGCCTGCTGAGCTTCTCTCAGTTCCCTGGCAATTAAAGGGGAAGAAATATATTACTTTACCCTAAATTAAAGAGGATATTTTTGATCTAAACTAACATAGATTTTTCTTTTTATTTCAGCATTTACAGAAATAAGCCTGAGCTATATACAGAATAGAAAATTAACTCCATGATTTTCTTTAAAAATGGCTGGCATATACATGCCATAACACATGGCAGATTAGGTTTCCTAAATCCTACTGATTGGGGCATAAGGGATGTTTAAAATTTTTAAAAATAAAAGCCTGATAAAGATATCACTAAAGGACTACAGGCCAATACATCAAATGAACATAGATGCAAAAATTCTCAATGCTAGCAAACTGAATTCAACAATACATTTAAAAATCATTCACCACGGGCGCCTGGGTGGCTCAGTGGGTTAAGCCGCTGCCTTCGGCTCAGGTCATGATCTCAGGGTCCTGGGATCGAGTCCCGCATCGGGCTCTCTGCTCATCGGGGAGCCTGCTTCCCTCTCTCTCTGCCTGCCTCTCTGCCTGCTTGTGATCTCTGTCTGTCAAATAAATAAATAAAATCTTTAAAAAAAAAAAAATCATTCACCACAATCATTCCCACAAGTGGGATTTATTCCTGGGTTGCAAGGGTGGTTCAGTATTCATAAACCAATGTTATATACCACATCAATAAGAGAAAGGATAAAAACCATATAATCATTTCAATAGATGCGGAAAAAGCTTTTGATAAAGTACATTATCTGTTCATGATTTAAAAAAAAAAAACCTTTAAGTTTAGAAGAAACATACCTCCACATAATAAAGGCCATCTATGAAAATCCATAGCTAACATCATCCTTAATGGGGAAAAATAGAGCTTTTCCCCTAAGATCAGGAACAAAACAACGATGTCCACTCTCACCACTTTTACTTAACATAGTAGTGGAAGTCCTAGTCCACAGCAAGCAGACAATAAAAAAGAAATAAAAGGAATCCAAATCAGTAAGAAAGAGGTCAAACTTTCACTATTTGCAGATGACATGATACCGTATATAGAAAACCCTAAACACTCCACAAAAAATTGTTAAAACTGATCAACGAATTCAGTAAAGTTGCAGGATACGAAATCAATCTGTAGAAATCTGTTTCATTTCTATGTACCTATAATGAAGCAGCAGAAAGAGAAATAAAGGAATTGATCCCATTTACAATTACACCAAAAACTATAAGATACTTGGGAATAAACCTCACCAAAGAGGTGAAAGACCTGTACTCTGAAAACTGTAAAACACTGATGAAAGAAATTGAAGACAGTACAAAGAAATGGAAAGACATTCCACACTCCTGGATTGGAAGAACAAATATTGTTAAAATGTCTGTACTACCCAAAGAAATCTACATTTAATGCAATCCCTGTCAAAATACAAATAGCATTTTTCACAGAAGTAGAACAAAGAATCCTAAGATTTATAAGGAACCACAAAAGAGCCTGAACAGCCACAGCAATCTTGAAAAAGAAAAGAAAAGGTGGAGGCATCACAATTCCATACTTCAAGTTCTACTACAAAGTTGTAGTAATTGAAACAGTATGGGACGGACACAAAAATAGACACAGAGATCAGTGGAACAGAATGGAAAATCCAGAAATAAACCCACAGTTTTACAGTGTATTATTCTTCAACAAAGCAGGAAGAATATCCAATGGGGGAAAAGACAGTCTCTTCCACAAATGGTTCTGGGAAAAGTGGACAGCTACCTGCAAAAGAATGAAACTGGACCACTTTCTTACACCATACACAAAAATAAACTCAAAATGGATTAAAAACCTAAATTTGAGACCTGAAACCATAAAAATCCTAGAAGATAACACAGGTAGTAACTTCTTCAACATTGGCCATAGCAACTTCTTACTAAATATGTCTCCTGGGCAAGGGAAACAAAAGCAAAATGACCTCAGGATGAAAAGCCTCTGCACAGTGAAGGAAATCATCAATGAAACTGAAAGGCAACCTATGGAATGGAGAAGATATTGGACAAATATCTTATAAAGGGTTAGTTTTCAAAATATATAAAGAACTAATACAACACAACCCCCCCCAAAATAATCCAATTGAAAATTTGCAGAAGACATGTACAAACATTTCTCCAAAGATGACATCCAGATAGCAAATAGATGCATGAAAACTTGGTCATCATCACTTATCAGGGAAATGAAAACTACGATGAGACTCACCTCACCCCTGAGTGGGAAAGAATGGGAAAATCAACAACAAAAGGCACAACAAGCATTGAAGAGGATGAGGAGAAAAAGGAACCTTCTTGCACTTTTGGTGGGAATGCAAATTAGTACAGCCACTGTGGGAAACAGTTGTGGAGGTTCCTCAAAAAGTTAAAGAGAGAACTACCTTATAATCCAGCAATTGGGTATTTACCCAAAGAATATAAGAACACTAATTCAAAGGGATACATGTACCCTAATGTTTATAGCAGCATTATCTGCAGTGACTAAATTATGGAAGCAGCCCAAGTGTTCATCAATACGTGAATAGGTAAAGAAGATGTTATATACTAAAGATAAAAATGAAGTGATCTGAAGGGGTACATGCACCCCAATGTTTATAGCAGCAATGTCCACAATATCCAAACTATGAAAAGAGCCTAGATATCCATCAACAGATGAATGGATAAAGAAAATGTGATATATATATATCCAATTATATATAATACAATATATAATTATATTATTTTATATATTTATATATTTAATTATATATAAATATATATTATATTATATACAATTATATATAATACAATACAATTATATATAATACAATATTCCATTATACATATAATGGAATATTGTGCAGCCATCAAGAAAAAAAAACTCTTGGTATTTGCAACAACATGGTTGGAACTAGAGGATATTATGCTAAGGGAAATAAGTCAATCAGAGAAAGACAATTATCATATGATCTCATGGATATGAAGAATTTGAGAAACAAGACAGAATCATAGGGGAAGGGAAAGAAAATGAAACAAGATTAAACCAGAGAGGGAGACAAACCATAGGAGACTCTTGATCTCAGGAAACAAACTGAAGTTGCTGGAGGGGAGGGAGGTGGGAGGGATGGGATGGCTGGGTGACAGACACTAAAGAGGGTATGTGCTATGGTGAGTACTGTGAACTGTGTAAGACTGATGAATCACAGTCCTGTACCCCTGAAACAAATAATACATTATATGTTAATTTAGGGACACCTGGGTGGCTCACTCGGTTAAGCCTCTGCCTTCTGCTCAGGTCATGATCTCAGGGTCCTGGGATCGAGCCCCACATCGGGCTCTCTGCTCAGCAGGGAGCATGCGTCCCCCCCTCTCTCTGCCTGCCTCTCTACCTACTTGTGATCTCTGTCAAATAAATAAATAAAATCTTTTAAAAAATAAAAAAATAAAAATAAAAATAAATAAAGATGTGGCATATATATTTAATGGAATATTATTTGGCCATAAAAAAGAATGAAATCTTGCCATTTGGAAGGTTATTGATGAAACTAGAGAGTCAGAGAAAGACAAATACCATATGATTTCACTTATAATGTGGAATTTAAGAAACAAAAAACACAAAGGGGAAAAATAAGAAGACAAATCAAGAAACAGACTATTAACTAGAAAGAACAACCTGATGGATTACCAGAAGGGACGTGGGTAGGGGGATTGTTAAATAAGTGACTTGATCTTGGGGTTGTGAGTTCAAGCCCCACATTGGGCCTAGGGCTTACTTTAAAAAAAGAAAAGAAAACAAACAAAAAAACTACCTTTCCAGTGTGGCGGTCTTGAACTTTTCCAAATTAAGCTGCTGCTGGAGCTCTTCTGCTTTCCCAAGGGAGGGCCGGAGAACTCGACTTCTGGCCAGAGCTGCTGCAGAAGGTCTCTCCCTTGGGTCAGGGTGGATCATGCTCTGTTGATGTTTGACCAAAGCAAAAGATACAGAAATTTCACTGCTGGGAAAATCTCCCCACCCAAGCCAACTCCAGCTCAGCTACTGCTGGTGAGTTTTGTCAAATTCTGCTTTTAACTTTGCAGGGGAAGAAATAAATGAAAACTTATCTCCACCAGGGACGGGATCGTTATCTCTATGCAGGGACATCCGTCATCTATAACTTTGACTTGTCTTTATCATATTTTAGAGCTAGCTGTGTGATTACCTAGTCTAATGCCTTAATTTTAAATGGGGAGAAACTGAGGTCCTGAAATCAAAATTGACTTGCCCATCTTATTAACAGGACCAAGACTAAAACCCAAGTCAACCAACTCCTAGTTCCATTTGCTTTCTACTCCAACATGCTCCTTTCCACTTAAAACTAAGGGTACCCCCCCCATGACAGCATTCCTACAACACTCATCTTCAGGTAGAAAGTGCCTTAATTTAACAATATAAATACAGTAAAAAGTAGCTAATTACTTACAGCAATTAGCAATGTCATAAAACAGAGAAAACACGGGACCTTCCATTTGAAGACCAATGTTCAGAACTGGCTCCACCATTCACTAAGTAGCTTGAGGAAGTGACTTAACTATGCTGAAACTCGGTTTCCCTTTCCTGATACTTGGGATAACAATATTCACCTTCTGGAGCATCGCAAGATTTAAATGAACTGACATATATGTGTAACTAGTGTACTGGACCAGCACTGAAGTACTCAGTATGTATTAACTAAATCTAACAGTAATTTACACATGGAAATAAGTGATTAGGACATGCATGAAAGTCTGCTGGGAGCAAGGGTTTACTTTATTCTTTCAGGAAAGCAGAAGCACAGAAGGACAAGTTTGCAACTAAATTTGAAGTTTTCAGGTGAACTATGAAACTCAAATTTAATCCCTAAGAGTAGATGTTTCTAAGGCGTTTGTAGGTGTCCTAACCAGTCTTGTTCCTTAAACCTTGAAGTCTTACGTAGATATTTTGAACTCTTAATATAATTCTAAGCTTCTCAACAGTGTCATTTTCTTGCACCTCTGTTTCAACAGAAGCGCCTCCTTTCCTTGTCCCTACACATACTCAGATATCGCAGAATACAAGTAACACACAAATTTCTAAACTAACATTATGCCTTTTTCCAATAGTGCAGCTGATTGGTGGTATTGCCAGTTACCCATCTGTAAAATAGCTTATACTTTCTTCTATACACTCAGAATTCAAATATCTTTCATAATATCACCATTACCAATGACAATAGTTAAAACCCTGAAACAAGAGTAAAACACCAGGTTTGATTTTAGAGTTAATCAGTTGTCAAAGGTGAGGATACAAGTCCAGGAATTGCTCTGAGCCTTGGTTTCCTGAACTGCCCACCTGTTGGGAAGGGAAAAGGAAAAAATGTAACAGGATTTTAAACTGGAACATAAAAGGTTCTATAATGTCCTCTAAGTTTCCTTGAGAAGCTTTCAGTCTGTCCTGTGGCTTTTCTGGGCTTCGAGGTCATGATTCCTTTTTCTTCTGTCATTGGCACCACCAGCATCTCCTTTTCCCCTTCCCCACCTCCTTGCCATTGTATTTCTTTAAAAAAAGACATTTTCTATCTTCTCTTCATCTCATAAGAGATACCACCTTGAGTAGATTGTAAAATTCTTCTGAGAGCTTCTGAGGAATGTTGGGAAGGTTCCCCTCACGAATATGATGCCATGCGGCGCCATTGGTGGGTAAGGACTCTGCTCCCGCAGCCACTGCAATTGTTAATCCCAAGGCAAATATGTCTGCTTTGGGAAGGTGCTGATAATCCTTCAAAACAGAAGAGAGGAAGGCCAGTTAGTTTGCCTAGTGAGATGACAGTAAAGACAACTGGTAAGAGAGGTTGTTTTGAGTATGTATGAGCTTGGACAGTAGGCAAGGTCACATCTGCCATGGCTGGTAGAAGCTTTTAAAGCAGAATCTTAGTACTGTTTTATTCTATCAGACTCAAAGAGGCTTCAAGCACAGACTAGCTGGGCAGAGATATCATCATCCTAGAGGGAGTTAAATCCTTCCTACCCTGACTCCACAGACATCCTAAAAGGTAGGCAATAAATGAAGGTCATTTCATCAGAGCTGATGGTACTACCGGAAGGATGATAGCATGATAAAGATGGACTGAACCAATAAAGGATTCCTTTCTGCTAGGGAATCCATGAGTTTAGGAATTCTAAGAAATACTAGAAACAGTAAACGACCTTTATAAAAAAAACAGCAAAAATATTGATTAATCCATGACAGAGCCAGCTTTCCTCATGCTGTTTTGTTTTGTTTTTTAAGTTTCTTATCTTTGGTCTCAATTCTGAATAGGAAGTGGATAATATCAATTTAAATTATAAATATGAACTTTTGGAGCCCATAGGTGGCTAGTTAACCATCTGACTCTTGATTTCAGCTCAGGTCATGATCTCAGGGTCATGAGATCAAGCCCTGCACTGGGCTCTGCACTCAGCACAGCGTCTGCTTGAGATTCTCCCTCCCCACCCTCTGTCCTTCCCCCTACTCATGCACTAGGGCTCTCTCTCTAAAATAAATACCATATGAAGAAAAAAAAAAAGAAGTAGAGCGCTAAAAAAAATAATAAATAAAATAAAATACAGTCTTTTTTAAAAACTATAAACATCTCTTGCACTGTGAACCTTCATTTGAGAGTCAAAAAGTTCAATGGGTTATAAAATACCCTGTTTCCCTAATCTTTACCTCTTGTAAAATCTCATTAGCCAGGAAGCGACTATCTCCCTCCTCCACTTTTGGTTTGCTTATCGATGTCACATGACCCAAGTCACCTGAAAAAAGAAAGAAAAAAAAATAGAGCCCTTTAAAAGCATGTCTTTAAAACTAGAATAAATGGGGTCATTACTATAAATTTTATAAGATAATATACAGGTCAGAGCTTAAGGCACACTCACCAATTTTTTTTAATTTTATTTATTTATTTGAGAGAGAGGCGAGAATGAGAGAGAGTGAGCATAAGAGGGGGAAGGTCAGAGGGAGAAGCAGACCCACTGCTGAGCAGGGAGCCTGATTCGGGACTCCATCCCAAGACTCCAGGATCATGACCTGAGTTGAAGGCTGTCATTCAACCAACTGAGCCACCCAGGTGCCCCAAACTCACCAATTTTATACATCACATTGGCAGAGAGAAACCAATCAGCTTCATTTTCAATCTCTTCTGGGACTACAGGAGAGCCACTTTGCATCTTATGACAAATGAAGATGTTACCTGAAACAAAAACAAACCAACAATCAAAAAATACTGAATTGACAAAGTCACGATTCCTTAGCTTTTTCACACCAAAGATTCTTTTCTGTGTCTGTCATTTCAGCCACCCTCCTCTCTTCCTCTTCTGTATACATAGAACAACACTATCTATGTTTCTTTTCTTCCATGGAATCTCTCACACTACTTCTGAAAGCTCAGTAATTGAGAATACCTATTTGAAGGGAAACTGATCTCAGACACTCCTCCTCTGAAGAGGCTAGTAGCCTCAAAACAAAGAAATAAGCCTGAGAAACATGGTAATGATGTTTCCTTGAGTTTCACATAATTGAGTGCCAGAACCATTTCTGTTCACTTTAGTCAGTCCTGAATTAGAAAGAGTGTATACAGCACTAGTTGTCAATACATTCAGGAGGTAGCCAAAATGTGATCGCTTAACTATGCAATGAGTTAGAGACCTATTTTCATACTTTGGCTTCATTATCCATGAAAGAGTCTTTTCTCTCTGTCCCCTAGTCCCAGAGGGGATAATGGACAAAGCTGTTTAAATTTTTTAGGGAAACAAATGAAAGAGATTTTGCCAGCTAACAGCATCTTCAACACTTGGTAGACACACAGGCACCAATTCTGACACGGGGAAGTCTGGCCAGAGGAGCAGAGCGGAGCCATACTGACTGGGTTTGATGTCCAGGTGCACCACGCCAGAGTTGTGGATGTACTTAAGCCCAAGGGAAATCTGCAGAAGGATGTCCTTGAGTTTCCACTCCTGGAAAGGATTGCCAGACTTTGTGTTTTCAGATATAACAGTCTGCAAGCTCCCACCTAGGAAGGAACAACAGACAGCAGCCGCACAGAATGGAGAAAAACTATGAATCTCAATAGGTAGAAGTGTAATAAACAGTCAAATTTCTTGTGAATGAGTTCAGTCCAACAAGTCTAGATTATTCAGTTTCAGTGTAAAACAGAATATCTGCCACTGCCTATACCACAGACACATTGGAGAAGAGTTACAGGACTTATTAATAAAAATAAAATGTCATACCTCAGGTATCCAATGTGGGTCTATTGCCTTGAGTATGCCCCAACTAACATTTTAAAAGTGTTATCTAATCATTTACCAGAAGCCCAATCAGGCCTGGACAAATAGCTACTATTGACATTGATGATTAATTGAGTGTCAAGCTAGTAATTACAGGCTACTAGTAACTTTAATGTAATGGATTCTAAACTTAATTCCATTAAAATATATCACAAAATAAGAATATTTAATGACTGCTAACCCAAGGAAAATATAAACCTTCAATATACATCTAAGTCCTATCTGAGCCACAGTATTTGCACATCCGCTATGGATAGACTCTCGGTTTATCTTTATCAGAGAAAAATAAGGCCTAGATTCATCTGACCACCTGATCTTGTCTGCCCCTGTCCCAAGGAATTAGAAGGCTTCTGAACTCTTTATTTCATTACATTAATTTGCATTCATTGTCAGCCTCTTCAGTCAAATTATAGAGCCCTGGGTCTCCCTGGCAGTTAGGGCTCCAGCCCTCAAGTATGTGTCCAGAATAATAGGATCAGAGATGGTAATGGTATTTTTTTTTTTTTTAGGAAATCCATTATTTCAAGTATCCTCTGTAAAATTCAATATACGGATTGACCAGTCATGTTAAAAATAATTAAATTCAGAAAGGAGAAGAGTTTTAGCCCTTTTCAGAAACACAAAGAGGCCTAAAATGAAGGGTTTGCTTTTTTTCTGGGAATCTTCTTACAAGGTATGTGTGGAAGAGGACATTAGATAGAAAGGAAGAGTAAATTGAAACAAAGTCACCTTGAATCTAAGTTTGCAGATGAAGCTGTGAGGTGTGGTGAGGAGAAGGAAGCCTGCATCTAAGGCCCCCATGTCCCCTGGAACTCCTCTCCCTACTAGGCTAGGTGCTCCTTCAAGACAGGGTCCCGTCTTATTCCTTCTCACTTTCTCAAGGTCTTGCACATAATCTATGTATTCTGATCTGAATGTCTATTCTCACAACAGAGGGAAAGGAAAGACTGGGACAGGGACCCCATAAAAGGTATGAAAAGAGAAACATCCTGGGGGTATGTAGGAACCCTTTAAGATGGTCTTTTAGGTAATAAGCAAAGCTATATTGCCAGTTCCCTGAAGAGCTACAGGTATTAAGGTAACTAGATCAGTGCTAGCAGCACTTTTAATTACTTAGAAGCTCTGTAGGTAATATTAAAGGTAGCCAAGTAATAATTAACAACAGTAAAAGTTACTGAAAAGCATTTATGCAAAAGTGTTAGAAGGTCTTTATTTTGCCACAACTAAAGCTGATTGTCTTCCTCGTATTGGAGAGCATTATTAACTGTTCTTTGCTAAAGAGTATTAAGGAAGTAGGTGTTCATAGAGCAATGCTGAATGAACTATAAGCTTCATCCCTACTAATCTCAGCTACACTGGAGCCTTAACTCCATACCCCAACATACCACCTGGAGATGGTACCATAATTGCCATCATTATGCCCTAGGAGGAAACAACCAGCTCCTAGACAGCTCTTCTCAAACTATCTTTAGGAGATTGCTGGCTGAATTCTTTCCTTTAGATAAAATAAAAGTGCTTTCCCTACTTGGTAGGGAAGGAAAAAAAAAGAAATTTAAAGACAAATCTATGTTTTTCCATCTGTTTATGAGGACTGACAGATACTAAAATAGCAAATGCCTTCCAACAATGAAAAGTAAACAGCAGAACAATAATTCAACAGGATATTTTGTTCATACACGTGTATTCTCAAATCTTGATTTTATGTTGCTATCTACAACACAACCATCTTTTTCTGCAAGTAAAGTAATTCCTTGTTTGGTAGGGGAAAAAAAAAAAACCACAACCAGTATTCATGGTGTTCCACAGAGAATGCAGGCTTCTGGATGTCACATCACTAGAACAAATCCAAGAACCACCATCCTAGAGGAGCAGGCTCTATAAAACGTCAGTGACAGAAGTCATCACAAGAAAATACCGCTGTTAGGGAGAGGTTAACCCTCCCATCCTGAGTCGTTTGGAATCCTGGCGGCTGCATAATTGATCTGCTTGCTGGAAGACATTCAGGTTTCAGAGGCTGACCCCAAGGTGACACATAGGAGATCTCGGCAAGGTTGGCAGTGGAAGAAGGAACATTTGATCGGTTCAGGGCTCACGAGGCACAGTTGGGAAAATCAGGTAACTGCTGGTCTCTACTAATTATGATGTACATTATCTAAGTCATGTCATTTATAATCTGAATAGAACCATAACTATAAATGTTCTAGTCTGACTGCTATAACAGGCTGGGGATACAAGGGTAAAGGTGGCAAGCAGGAGGAGGAAGAGAGGAGAAAGAGGGCGAGGAAAAGGATGGAGGCGGGAAGCATTAGAAGGAATCGGGCACTGGCTACTCTGCCACCTTACAAATACTTGGACTTAACTCTCCTTGATTTAGAGCCGAAGGGCAAAGTCTCAAAGTTATGGATTATCCATAACTACAAATAAGACAACTATAAGGGCACGCTTTATTTTCAATGATCAGTTCACATTTGAAAGCAATGTATGTGAATTACATTTTGATAAATCAGAGTTACATTTTAATGGGCAAGTATGCAGTGAGGTTAGCAGACCACTATGGCAAACAGACAATGATTCCTCGTAAATCTGCTCCAAAATCAACTGCCCAGAAACATCAAAAAGTCCTCTGTAGTCTTCCCACACTTTACCTTGCTGATCTTGTTTCCTATTATAGGGATCACCTTGGTCCTGTCAGTCTCCTATTTGTGGAGTCAGACCCATTCCCAAAACCATGCCCTTTGTCTGCATGCTGTTCCTCTAATGAAGTCTTCCTTCTACTTCCTTAAACTCTCCTAATCTTTTGGCAAACCCTCTTTCAAGTCTTACCTCCTTGATGAGATGGTCTTGGGCTGCTCTAATAACAAGTTTGAGTTCTTATGATGTATCAGGTACTGGCACTGTGCAGGCCTTTGACATACATTTCTCAAACTACTCCCTTAAGTAAATATTACAATTTCTTTACTCAGTGGGACTGACATCCCAGATATCATACAACTAGTGTGCCACACCCAGGTCTGCCTAGGTGTGCCTCAGCCCAGGCCCATTCTGCCACACTATGCTGCCCCTTACTCATATGCATCTTCTCTGAATGCTTTTTATCCATAGTTGTACTACCTGGCTTTAAAGCAAATCGTCTCTTGTGTATTCATTGTAACAGAGCAAGTGGAGGGAAGTTCCTGGAAGGACTTCTTGGCTCAATCTATGGTGTATCTCTCCCTAGAACTTAATACAATGTCACACCTGTAGAAGGGATTCAAATGTTGAAAAGAATTAGAAGAGGATTTGTAATAGGAATAATCACTCTTCCTTATTCTTTTTAAAATTTGAAATCTTTACAATGCCCCAAATCAGATTAAATTAATTCCGTTTTGTTTGACTTTCTTGGCTAAGTTTGTCCTCCGACACTATCTTTGTTAGTAGTAAAAATCATGAAAATAAAACCAATGTTGGAGTGGGGAGGGAGAAGAATAGGGAATCTCAGGTTGTGATAAGAAGGAATTAGGAAGAGAAGATTAAGAAAAGTATCAATTTCTCTATCACAAGGAAAGGGTCCATTTTTTAATCTTAAAGAGACTATTAGAAAAAGGGATTTAGGTGAACTTGCTAGAGGAAAAAAATCCAACAAAGCTCACAGTTAATACTGCAAGGAAATCAGACCCTAACAAAACACCAAGTCATTATTTTGCAGTATATGTGTGATATTTTCTATGTTTCTAGCATTTCATAATATTATCTACTTAACTTACTTGTATATATAATGATGACGCTTTAACACTGACCGCTCTCCTCAAAAGTCAAGCTGCACATACATGCTCAGCACTACCTGATGGTAACTAAAATTACTCCAAAACTGTACTATCAGAGAAACCCGAGGGTGGGTGTGCATGTTTTTTTTTTTTTAGGGGGAGGAAGTTTGGGAGGGATGCTATTATCTGATCTTAATTGTGACCAGAATATGGATAGCTACTCCTAAAATGCCAGCAAGCTTCTATTTAATTTGGTAGCACTTTCCTATTTTACCTGGGAACATTTTGATGAGAAATATCTCTGCGAATAATTACATGTAACTGTACTGTTATGTCAACCCCTTAATCACAAATTAAAATAGGCTAAAACAAAAGACTATTTTTTTTAAGTAGCCCAGAAAAAGTTCTGCCAGTTTGTGTATGTATAGTCCTGAAGGAATATGCCTGAAGTCCTTGCATTTCATTCCCAGCACCCACCCCACGCTCATACTCTGGCCAGAACACTGAAGCTTGGGGAGCCTGGGTGATTCAGTCATTAAGCGTCTGCCTTTGGCTCAGGTCATGACTCCAGGGTCCCAGGATGGAGCCCCACATCAGGCTCCCTGCTCAGCAGAGAGCCTGCTTCTCCCTCTCACACTCCCTGGGTTTGTGTTCCCTCTCTCATGGTCTCAGATAAATAAATAAAATGTTAAAAAAAAAAACAAAAACTAAACTAAACCAAACCTCAAAGGTAAGAAGCATCAAGATACATGAACTATGCCCCAATTCAGGAATCCACTTGAAAATTAATCAAAAGTTGGCTGTGTGAGTTTACCACTCCCTCCTTGAAAATGATAGGGACTGTGGTTTGCATCTTTTAGAATACCTAGCAAATATAAGAGGAAGATTTACCATTCAAACCACTAGAGCAAAATTTTTCTATGTATTGAGTAAAATGTGAAGGGGTTTATAGCTTCTATGTGTCAGCCACACATCAGCTCTGAAAGATATACGACATAGCATAAAATGGAAATTCCTTTTCAACACAACTTGTGTCCCCAGCGCTCTGCTTCCAAGCAAAACTATAGTACAAACTTTTTAGGTATGACTCAGCTATGCCTACCATAAACTACAAGGAGGAGGCAAAGATTTTTTTCCTGGATACAGATGTTCATCCCCTTCTCCACAGATACTAGTCTGCATACTTACCATTGCAGTATTCATTCTGAATGATCATGTGGTCATCTTCTGCCCATGCAGAGTAGTAACGTACCACATGCGGGTGGTGCCCAAGGACTGCATGAGCATAAACTTCATGCAAAGCCAAATTCCTAGAAGACAGACAAGCATCAAGAAAAATGAGTCAAGATAATATACATACAGCTTTTTTTTTTTTTTTAAAGACAAGATTCTGGACTCTGGGGAACAAACTGAGAGTTACAGAAGCTTGGGAGACGGGATGGGGTAACCAGGTGATGGGTATTGAGGACATATGTTGTGATGAGCACTGGGTGTTATAAGCAACTAATGAATTGTTGAACACTCATCAAAAACTAATGATGTACTATATGTTGGCTAATTGAACATAATAAAAATATTGATAAAAAAAATAAAAGACAATTTATGAGGCATTATTAACAGTGGCAGAACATTTACTGAGTACTCACTGCTTACTTAGTATTTTAGTTCATTTAATTTTCATAACTACTCAGTAAGATATAGTGGCAAGGATGAAGGCTTTAGAAAAGCTGTGACTGGCCCAATGTCAAGTCAGTGATAGTAGACCTGGTACCAAAATCCATATTATTTTTTATTGAATGTGGCATATGTAAAGAGGAGTATTAGATTGTTACTATCTCAGTGGCAGACATGCTTTGAGTTTTAATTTCACCGTATCACAATTAAAAAAAAAACTTTGATGGGCTTAATAAGGCCACTATGGACTTGATAGTTGGATTTTGTAATGGATCCTCTATCTTCTCTGTGAAGGCTGGACAGTCATTAGAGTCAATATTACACTTAGCCAATATGACATGGTCATAGGGGCAGTCTTGGGGAGAGATATTCATTATGGAACAGGAAATCCAACACACAAAAAAAGTGAAATATAATACTCAGTGAATTTTGGTATAAAAATGAAGAATTCTGAGGTCCATAACTTCAGATTCAGCAAACTATTACATTCCTACAGTTAACAAAAAGCTTTGGCTGAATCTAAAAAAATTGTTTTCTTTGTAAAAGGAAGACTTCTGAACAATTAGCTCTGGGAATGAAAGTTAAATTTTGTTGCTTTTTCCTCACTTGTAGTCTTTGAAACATTGAACTCATTATTGAATTCATTATTAATACAAAGTGGAGATAACCAGTGAGTTAACAGTAACTTCCTGCTTGGCAATATTTTTAATGAACTAACAGGCAGATCACTCCATATATTTATTCATTAAAGCAAAAGCAGGAACACCAGTAGAAATAGCCTCAAGAACCATGCAAGAAAACAAACAAACAAAAACACTGTAACAGAATTGTATCCAAATAATTATGGTTTAGTTTAAGGAAATAACTTATCTTTGGTTTGGAAAACTCAGAAAGATTATGAATGTAAGACTACATACCATGGAAGGGATAGCAATGGGTATGTTTTTAATGACATCAGTACCATTATTTAAAATGTTTTGATGAGAAACAACTTTCCAAATCCAAATTTGTACTTCTAGTACATTTCAAAGGCACTTACTCATTCGATAATCCTGCAAAAGGTTTTGTGGAACGTTTTATTGCATAAACACATCCATCCAGCCTCTTAATACACTTGTAGACTGTACCAAATTCCCCAACTCCAATTTTTTCTACCTCCAAGAATTCTTTTTCATAGCGGGAAGCCATGTTGGTTTCTCGTAGAACACACCTCTGAAATATTTTATTAAAATGTTAAAATAATTCTAACATATTGTGAGCAATAAATTTAAGGCATATTCCAAAATTTCTCGAAGTTTTCAAAAAGACTTTTGAGGCAAATCTGTTGGATTCTGTGTCAGTAATTCATGGTAGCAAGAACCTCCCCGGTTGCTGACTACCTTTCATACTCTTCATAACCATCTATACAACTCTGTACTGGCATTTTTTCATATATTAAGTCTTTTTCTATGTTATTTCTTCTTTCTGGGATATGCTTATTCTCAATATGTTTTTAGGGAGAAAACACCTGCTCACAGCAACAGCTACTGTCCTCAGTTGAAGGAATGGCCAGGATCCAAGTAGAACATGGTAAGGAGAAAAAAAAAAAGACACTCCCTTTGACTCTTGTCTACCTACCTCACACTCTGGCTGCTGGTGTTTCCATCTCAAATTGAATGAACTTATTGTTCAATTTGCTTCCTCAAAAATTTTAGTACAGAGAACAAAATTGTCAAATTGATTATTTCAGCTTATGTGTTCAGGTACAGCAATCCTTCCACCTACTGGCTAACTAGCAATATCTCTCTCTTTCCAGCTAGTAGGTAGCCCTAGGCAAAAAAAATAAAATAATTTTAAAAAATCACTGAACCCCTTTATTAGTTTTCTCTTCTAAAGGAAAGTGAGCATCCTAGCAACTACTCCTTGGGGGACTTTTAAATTTACATGAGAAAAGGTGTTTGTGTGTGTTTGTGTGTGTGTAACTTAGCTCAATGCCAAGCACACAGTAAATTCTCCAAAAAATCATAGCTAAGATGATAAAAATCTCCATGAATTTATATGAATCTCAATCCAAACCACTTTATCTCCATGAAGTCATTCTTTCCCAATGTCCCTGTTAGCAAGAATTTTTTCATGTAACTGGATTTTAAAGAATCCTGACGCTTACTAGCTCCTCATTTCAACAACTAATACCAACCAGTCTTCATTAGCAAGATCTAGAGTTTTCTTTGCCCTTAGACAATCTCAAGTTCTGTTTCTCCCATGTCTGGGGCTGTCATAGCTACAAGCCCTCTCTTCATCTCTTCTAATAATGAAAATTATTTTTGCAAAATGTTACCATAGAGTAAGACACACCTAATTGTCTCCCCCAAGGAATCCAAACTTCTGCTCAGAAACCTAAAGGTCTTTTACCAATTGCTCAGCCACTACCTTCCCATCCTCATCTCAGACAGTGAATAAGCCAGCTTACCATCTACATTATTCCCCAACCTTAAGCCCTTCCCCTCCACTTTCGTAAACTGAATATTGAGCATAAACATGTTTTCATGGTATTATAAGCTTCTTAATGGCAATTTAATATTCTACTGTAAATTCCAATTTTTTTGGCCATTCTTTTGTTATTGGACATTTAGTATTCCTTTCTTTTTTTTTTTTTCTTCTTGGCCATTACACCTAAGGCTGCAATAAATATCTCTGGTGATAATATTTACAGCATTATTTTCTTAGGCTAGGTTATCAAATGAGGGATGCTACATCAAAGACTGTGAGCATTATATAAAAATCAATAGATAACTGATATAATTAAGAGCAAAAATTTTACATTTAAACTTATGGCTTTATGCCATTTTTCTCTCTTCTGCTCTTCCATTTTTGGACCTTAAATATCTTGAGTTTTCCCTTCACTTCTCTAACCCCATGAATAGAGAATTTTCCCTTAAATCCAAGATAGAAGCAATAGCCATTAATTTAAAAACACTGCAAGGTAATGATTCGATGATATATTGATCAGGCTCTGTCGGGTAAAGTAATAACTAGCTAAGAATACAGACTCTGCCGAGAGTCCAGATCAATTTAGTTGCAAAGCACATTTGCAAATCTACAAAGTGAGGCAGGGGTGGTAAGGAGAGAGAGAAGGAGAAGAGGAGAGAAAGAAATTGGCAACAGGATGAGGTGACTAAGTTTTGGCAGCTGGAACAAAGAACTGTGCTCACCTTGGCAGGTAGCCCTTGTTCTACATTGCCTTCCCCTGGACCAGCTTCCTCACTTAGGGGAAAAAAAAAAAAAAAGAAGTGATATCAATGTGTGACTGACGCTATTGAGCTTCATACTCTACTAGGTTCTGAGATTGTAAGAGTAAATAAGACAATTCCTTCCCCACGTCAGCCTGTATTTGGGGACAAGGATAAATAGAAAGTTTCAATGTAAGAAGCAAAAATAAGGGGGCGCCTGGGTGGCTCAGTGGGTTAAAGCCTCTGCCTTCAGCTCGGGTCATGATCCCAGGGTTCTGGGATCGAGCCCTGCATCGGGCTCTCTGCTTGGCGGGGACCCTGCTTCCCTCTCTCTCTCTACCTGCCTCTCTGCCTGCTTGTGATCTCCCTCTCTGTCAGATGAATAAATAAAATCTTTTAAAAATCTTTAGAAAAATCTTTATAAAAAAGAATAAGAACAAGATATCAAGGGACACCATAGGCAGCACCCAAATCATGATTTCAAGAGTAAAAGTCTTTCGGGAAAGAGGATAGGCAAGTTAAGTTTCCAGAATGAGTAGGAATTAGCTAAGGAGCCAGAGTGGGGTTCTTGGCAAGCACAGCAATGCTGAACCATGGAGGGGAGATCACACAGGACACAGGAAACTGAGTGCTCTTTCCTGTCCCATCGCCACCTTTCCCTTCAAAACTCATCTCCCCGCTTTGCCCTAGGTTCAGAGGAAGACCATCAGTACAGCAGAATACGCTCTAACACTGGCTAAGATATTTTCAGTTACTTTCCAAAAAGCTCCGACAAACATCCTCTTTGGCATGAGCAGTAGCATTCTGGATGTGTAAGCCAGATTTCAAGCTCTAGAACAGCCAACTATAGATTCTTCTTCTGGAGAAGCACAGGATAGAAAGTGCAAATAGAGGAAGACCTTACACTCATGGAGACAAACTGATGCTGGACACTTGTGACTTATTTATTAGGACATTCCAATACTTTCTAAAATAACAACCCCACAAAAAAACAACAGCACAATAAGTTAGGGGGGGAAATTGCCCATTCAGAAGCACCAAGAGCTGTTACTAAAGTGTCATCACTTTCATTGCAGGAAATGCAAATTAATGGTCTCTTCTGGCTAGTTTCCATGAGAGGCGAATCAATTAATTCTGATGGTTTACAAAGATTCGTGAAGAGCTAAAACGAATAGAATTCTTGGTTTAAAAAAGAGTGGACCTGTATACTTGGACTGAAGTTCTGTTAACTTAAGATCCAGGAGATAGTATTGAGAAAACCTATTCTGGCCACAAAGCTGGTTAATACGGAGTCATTGATTCCAAATGAAACAACTCAAACTAAAACATTAAATGCTCTGCATACCTCAGATTGTTAGCTGTGCATTTATTTTGCTATTTATTTTCCTTTGTGTAAAAAAAAAAAAAAAAGAAAAAACATTGAAGAGACATAGTAAAGAAATGTCCCTAAGTAATATGTACAGTCCTCATTTGGACAATTTCTACCATTGAGACCTTGTGGAGGTTTACAGTTTGGCTTTCTATTCTTAGTACCTCCAAAAGCAACACTATCTTTTTCTCTTCAGCCAATTTCCTGTCATCTGCAGAGAGGTTCAAATACTTGCATTATAGCTCTCAGTCACACACAGTTACACTGGAAACGGCAGTATACTCCCTGAAGTGTGAGCTACACCTGCCCCAATGACTAGCCTTCTGTTACCTAGGGGAGACTACTTGAATGCAATTCCATAGCTCGTTCAACTTGCTAATGGAAGTCAGATGTCTATTGCTTACTTTGCCCTATTCTTTTAGAGAGAAGGCAACATACAGTACATTTCAGAATGGAGTCACGCTAGAATCTCCATGACAAAGCAGACCAACATTAACATGTGGGGGGGAGCACTGTGAGAACAGGGTATCAGTTCCAATCAAATAGAGTTCTTTTTCCTAATCTTACTTTCCACTCTTCCTTCTACTTGACCATACTAAGATCAGTTCTCAAAAGTTAGATGCAACAGTACACTTACAGATCTCCTCGGGTTTTCCTCTTGCCATTGGATTGAAGGAATTGTTTTCTATAGGATTCTGGGGTAAAGGGATTTATATTGACCAGAGCCGATGAGGTCATCTCATCCACTAAGGGAACAGGTGTGAGCCTCAAATGTTTAGAGACTCTGGAGGGGAGCTTCTCTGTTGAAGAAATCACCGACTGGCTTAGCAGACCCTGAATGAAGATGACGAAAAGGGAAAACAGAATGGGGTTAGTACAAAAAAAAGTTCCATATCAGCTAGTTAATATTTGAACCAAGGAATGTTACTGCTACGAAGGAATTAGAGGTTGCCTGGTTCAATGCAAGCTAGTTGCATTATAACTGGTCCTCTTGTGAAAAATACAGATTCCTAGTCTTCCTCTGGATATTCTGATGAGAGGATCAACACAGGAATCTATAGTTTTGTTAAGCTCCACTGCCTCCCCCTGGGCAATTCTGATGGCCGGCTATGAAAAACACCAACTCTTCTACTACCTTTAGCTTTTTTGTTTTTGTTTTTTAAGGATTTTTGTTTATTTATTTGACAGACAGAGATCACAAGCAGGCAGAGAGGCAGGGGAGCAGGCACCCTGCTGAGCAGAAAGCCTGACAACAGGGCTCAATCCCAGGACCCTGGGATCATGACCTGAGCTGAAGGCAGAGGCTTTAACCCACTGAGCCACCCATGCACCCCTACCTTTAGCTTTTTAAAGACTGTACTTCAGCTTAGACAAATGAAAACAACTCTAGAAGACCTGATCCTTATGTTCTCAGTGTATACTTTAACTCCCCCTCAATTTTCATCCAGATATTTGTTTGGTGCCTAGTAAGTAGCAGATGCTGGGCTAGATGCTAAGGCGTACAGAGGTGAATTCCACTTGGTAGGAATGTTGTAAAAGGATTCAAGCATCAGGGGACTAATTGTACCAGCTGAGTCTTTAAAGTCTTTGCACATCCTGAGACACTATGATGTTGTGTCTTGAAGGTGGGATGTTGCCTACTCCTCTCGCCATCTTCACAAAAAAGGAGCTATTCCTGAATTTTCCATTCCCTCGATCACCTGTAAGAGAGCTGTTTCTTACGGAATTAGCTACACTCCCTGGGACATATTTATACTCTCAACCTGGACATCTTTCCAGAACTTTTTAATCCCTACCAAGTGGTCATCAACTAGTGCTCAATGCATTTAGCATGGGGACCTGCTACCTCCTTGGGAAACTCTTCTAATCTAGCTCGTTGTGCTAGGAGGTCTTTATGGTAACCTGAAGTCACTTCACAGGATTTCTTGTCCTCTCCCATGGGTAAGGCTGAACTAAGTCAGTCCTCCATTCCTCTGCATCCTTGTGTTTAGCATAAGGTCACCACTGATCATTGCCCACTCTCTCTTCTAATCCAAACTGTATTCCTCACAAAGCATGCATTTTTCAGTTGCCTTTCCAGTTTCCCTCCCAAGCTCTGTTCTTTTCCTGCCCCTCCAATCTTGGCACTTCCAGGATTCCTAATTTGGACCACTTCTCTTCTTACTCTGGCACTCAGGCTACTTGAGCTCATCCGCAACCAAGACTTCAGCAATTTCCAAAATGCTAATGATATCCCGATATAGATCTCCAATTTAGTTTGTTTTCCTGCACTCCAGACCCATTTATCTGGTGATTTATAGGACATCTCTGATTTCTCCAAACCCGTAAATGTCTTTAGCATCATCTTTTTCGATTCAAGTTACCATCTACTCAGTCAAGACAGAAGCCTCACAGGACCCTAGATCCCTCCTTTTCCCTCAGCCCCTCCACCAAGTTGATGAGAGACAAAAAGCAAGCTGAGCACAAAACATGAGCTGACACCCCACCAAGGCCCCCTCCCCTTAAGATGGGATATATATGTACATATATATGTATATATAAACATTCCTCAGGTACTAGTAACTGCCTAAGAACAAAGGCAGGGGGAAAACAAATGATCAATTGATAAAGATCACAGTCATGTAAGACATGAAACTCCACTAGACTTTGTAACTGTCTTAATGATATACAAGAAAAACATGATCTTAATAATAGACATCCAGGAACCTACAGACTCTATTTCCTGGAGCCCTAACATCACTTTCACTACCATATGCTAAAAAACCCTATATAATCAGTCTCTCCTCACAATCACAATGTAGCTCTTTCTGCCCTCAGGTCCTGTCCCCATGCTAGAATAAAAACACCTTTTTGTACTGCAAAACATCTCAAGAATTCTAGAATTCTTTCTTGATCATTGGGCTCAATGATCCTGCATCATATATTGGTGGCCCATACAGGAATTCTGCATCCTCCTTCATCTGGACTTTGAATGTCAGAGCAAACTTGGTGAGTTACTCTTTCTTCTGTTTTTACTTTCATTTTAGAGGCTCATCAAGGAGTATGGGCTTATTGGAATAATTTCATGTCAACAGCTCAGGCTGCAGTCCTCTAGCCCATGGCTACTCTATGGGTATGAGAGAGCCTGCCTTTTGACTGGAAGCTAGTACGTTGGCTAGCTTATGGTTATAAGGAAACTCAATGCCCTCTCATCGTTCCTATTCTTATACACAATTGTCTTTTTTTGGGTGCAGGACCACCACCTAAGTCACTAGGATGGCTGCTGATCTTAAAAATCTCGTGTAAGGTTTCTTCCTCATTCATCTAATGCAATCCCCTCCAAATCCCTGGCCAAGCCACTTCTGACCATGAGACCTCCACTCGGAGCTGGCGGAAACCAGTACCAGACTGAGTTAAAACCCAACCAGGGGCCATCTAGTGAAGTAAACTATAAAAGACTTACATGTGTTAGAATGTCACTTAGACTAGGATGGATTTCTATCTTTACTATTCTTCATCAATGTCTCCTACTGACTACTTAAGTTACAATAGTATATAATTTCCCCTTGTAAAAATTTTCTGGTGTTTTCCACGGGTTAAGAATGACAGGTTCTCCATGGCATTTTGGTCCAATCACTGGCTCGCATTAGTCATCTAGAATGCAATGGGGAAGCTGAGGGACATTAGCATCCCTCCAAGGTAAGGCAGCGTTCATTGCAGCTTCTTAGAAGGCCGCCTCTGGTCACTTTGACACTAGGAACCTCTGACATATCCTGCATAGATGCCACCTAGGAGGCACGGGGGATTTTTGGTAATAAACATTCTCTCCTTTCCTAAGAGCATGGGATATCTTCAGTTCCCAAGGATTCTTCCTTGGGATGCCTTTTAACCCACTGGAATCAATTCAGATTGCAAGATCTAAGAAAGAAAAAAAATGATTTTCTGTAACATTGCATGGCCTCAGCACTCCTCAGGAATTAAGGGAAAATGGCCCATTAACGGACATTAAACTTGAATACGATCTATCCAATCGCTTTTGCAGGAAACAGGGCAAATGGACTGAGGTACCCTATGTCAAGGCCTTGCTGGCCCTAAATCAGGATCCTGATCCCAGGGCCTCTTGAAACATATGTCTAACCACCAATAAACCCCCTCTGGACATACTTGATGACAATTGTGTAAATAGACCCATTTCTCCTAATAAACCTCAGCTACTGTAGAGATCACTGACTAATCCAAACAAGGATGACCCTGGCTCTGTTAGTATCTCTCCTCCTTATAAACCTCAAGACCCCTCTTCTCCCAGCCCAGATGGAAACACCAGGAGCAGGACTCCCTATCTTCTAGGACCTCCGCCTCAATCTGGATTACATCCTCTTAGGGAGGTTGCTACTGAAGAAATGGGCACAGTTAAAGTCATGTCCCATTCTCCATGGCAGACCTGGCTCTAATAAATAATTAGGACAATATTCCAAAAACCCTGCTCCCAATTTATTGAGGAATTTCAACAATAACCTATTATGTTTAATTTGACCTGCCAAGATATATACATCATATTGTTGCACCCCTGAAGAAAAGAACCATCTTTGAGCAGGTGCTCAAGAATTTGCTGATGAAGTAACAGTCAGAGATAGACATCATTAAACAGTGGAGGGAACCACTGTTCCCAATACTGAACCTTACTAGAATTACCAAGATGATATGGAAAGGAAAGGCAAAACCATAAGATCACTTGTTTAACAGAAGAAATGAAAAAAGGATTCTCTAAAGGAATGATAAAATTCAGGAAGTTACCCAAGGATCTGATGAAATCCAGCTCTCCTTCAGGGCTGTCTAATAGAAACCATCCCTAAATATACGAATCTGGACCCAACCTCCCCTGAAGGAACAACTGTACTAAAAATGCATTTTTTTTTTTTAGGTCAGTTAGCACCGGACATCCATTATAAATTGACTAAAATGGTTTTTGGCCCTCAAGCCCCCACTAGAGTGTAGCTACTGGGGTCTTTAATAATAGAAATATGGCCTTAAGGCAAGAAAAGGACTAAAGAGCTAAAATGCAGGGTAAAATATTGACTGAGGCTATTACAGATTCCCTATAACACCTGACTAACCAGGGGCCAAAAATAAAGCCAGTATCAGACAAAGGAGCAGGTGAGACCCCATGCTACAGGTGTGGCCAAATCAGACAGTGGAGCAAAGAATGTCCAAACACAGTCTCTCCACCAGAGTCATGTCCTGTTTATAAGAAAGGAGGACATTGGAAGAGAGACTGTCCTCATCTCCAAAGAGGGGAAGACAGGGAAGCACCTCCCCACTGGAGAGCAAGAACTGGAGGCTCCGGCATGACAGGCCCTGAGGGTGTTCTGGGTCCCTCTGAAGTCGGGATGACTGAGCCTCAGGTTACCCTGGATGTGGAAGGTAAGTTTATCAATTTCCTTATTGATACAGGAGCTACTTACTCTTCTTCCTCAGCACTCCGGCCCTACTTGTCTTTCTAACCATAGAATTGTTGGCACAGGAGAGGAAAGTTTCTCCTGTCCATACAAAAATCAGTTGGTTACTCATGTTTTCCTAGTCCTTCCATCTGGTTCCCACTCCATTAGTTGGAGGAGATTTAATGTACAAACTAGGAAGCCAGTTTGCTCTTACTGAAGAGGACAGCTTGTGCTCTTCAACACCCGAAGAATTTAAACCTTGCCCTGATATCCCTTCTGATATCTGGAAGGAAGTAAATCCACAGGTCTGCAGTTGGTATGAGACTTAAAATTTTTAATTGATATTGCTTATTAAAGCAACCTTAAAGGACCCAACCACTCACTATACCTCCTAAAAAAACAGTATCCCTTAAAACCTGAGGCAAAGGCTGGTTTTCAACCACTTATTGATACATCTCTCAAACATGGTATTTTTCTTTTTTCAAACATGGTATTTTAAAACCTCATCAATCTCCTTATAACACTCCAGTTTTACCAGCAGAGAAACCGAATGGAGAATATCAGGCAGTACAAGACTCAAGAGCTATAAATGAAGCAGTGATGCCTATTTAGCCCATAGTGACAAGTCCATATACGATTCTCAGTCAGGACCCTGTTGATGCCAACTGGTTTACAGTATTTGACTTAAAGGACACCTTCTTCTGCTTCCCTCTAAGTGAAGATACACAGCCACTAATTTGCTTTTGAATGGGCCTCACCCTTAAGCCCACAGTCTGTTCAATGAACTTGGATTGTCTTGCCACTGGGAGATTTAGAGATCGTCCTCACTCTTTGAGGCTGCACTTAGCAAAGACCTCCCTGATATCTCCCTGCTTCAAGGAACTATAGTTCAATACGTGGATAATATTTTAATCTGTAGTCCCACAAAAGAAACATCGGATAGTAATTCCATGACTTTGCTTAATTTCTCGGCAAATAGAAGGTATCATGTCTTCCCTAAAAAGGCACAAATATCGAAATAAAAAGTACAATATTTGGGGTAGGAGCTAATACCAAGTCACTGAACCCCATCTACTGACAAATTTAAAAAAAAGGCGGGGCATCATTAGATTCTGGACTCCCAGCTACAAAAAAAAAAAAAAAAAAAAAAACAACTCTGTACTTTCCTAGGTATGGCAGGGTTTTGCCCACTGTGGATTCCTGGATTTAGGTTCTTAGCCAAACCATTGTGTGATTCAGTCAAAGGCCCTGATAAAGAACCTGTACCCTGGGTGGAAGGCCCAACAGACAGCATTTCAAACATTTAAAGCTAAGCTTTCATCAACCCCAGCTTTGGCTTTACCAAATTTAGAAAAACCTTTCACTTTATGTGTAACAGAAAAACAGGGACAAGTCTGGGAGTTCTTACCCAGAAACTAGGAGATGAAACAAAGTAGGCGTGCTATTTTTCAAAGTCATTTGATAATGTGGGTGGCTGGCTTGTCTTCAAGCAGAGGCTGCAACAGCCCTCCAGGTAGAAGCAGCTTCCGAACTTACTCTGGGACGATTCTTGACAGTGAGGACTCCACATCAGGTCCAAAGGGTCCTAGGGACCAAAGGCCACCAATGGAGGACGGGATGCTGACTTACGAAATACCAGACTATGCTTTCAGATGAACCTGAAATAACACTAAAAGCCTGTTATACTTTATGCCTGGACCTGACCATCATACGTCTATGCTAGAACATGACTGCTCAGAGATTACTGATTGTGTTTATTCTAGCAGATCTGGATTTTAAAGATTCCCCTATTGAAAATGCAGATGACAATTGCTTTACTGATGACAGCAGCTTCATAGGTAAGGAAAAAAAGAAAAGCCAGATACGCCATAGTTAGATAAGACCATTGAGGCAAAAGCCCTTCCAATTCCAATAAATTCTTCCACTC